TGATGAGTACACCATGAAAACTGGGGTAATAAAGAGTAATGAAACTGTTGGGAAACCTGACTCTATTACTACTGTCAAATAATCATCATTAGACTGGATCACTACAATGATAAATCTTGTCAAAATATATACCCATATAATGATTTAATAAGAGAGCACTTAAACCCTGTGATTTCCCTTATAAATTCTAAAACCCCAACCTACTCATTGAAAAAAACATCAATTTCATTCCATAGATAGGCATCCTACAAAAATAGCATGCCAGTGCTCTTGAAAGCCAATCCAAAGAAAAGTATTCAAATATTTAGCACAGCCTCGAGAAACCTAGGATAAGTTACATCCTGGAAAAATAAAAGTGTAAAACTGTGACAAAGAGATTTCATTTAACAATGATGCTAAAATACTGGTTCCTTAATTGTGACAAACATGTTAACATCCTCTATGGTGCTGAGAAGCGTGGAACTGCATTTGGGAGATATAAAATAGACTATCATCTGATCAATTTTTATGTAAACCTAATATTATTTGTATCATTTTCTTTAATTAAAACATAAATACATTCATAAGAATTTTAATTTGATTGTACCAGTCATTAGCAGTTTTATGAGTTACCTTCATAAAGACTGTCTAGACACAATAGCATTCAGCAAATCAAATGTCAGTCACAGTTATTTACTATTCTGCACACACAAGAGAGAAAGACAGTTTTAAGAAACAAGGTGTACTTTTGCTTCCAGGCATCTCCAGTAACAAACACGCTTTTACTATACACATCTGTAATTACTTGATGATCGCATCGATTCTTATGGAATTCAATACTGCATATTTTTAGAAAGACAACAACACATGTGTACTGCTAGCCGAGATCAACCCTACATTTGAGATGCCTCTATAGCAGGATGTTTAACAGAATCTACATTTCATCATGTTCAAAAAGAGGCTACAGATTTGCCTTCACCAAAGCAGAGTGTACTTTATTAACAGGAAAGCCAGACTATTTGCATGGGCTCAAAAAACTGCTTCCATGTTTGTTTGTTTGTTTTCTTGTTTGAACACTCTGCCTTATTGATAAATTCCACGGGGTCTTCTTTAAAAATGTTGTCAGAATCACACCACTTCTTTTTAAAAAAATAACTATTTGTTTTCATTTTACGTGCATGCCTGTTTTGCAGGCATTTATAAATGAGCACCATGTGGGTGCCTGGTGCTGAGAAGATCCAAAGAGTGTGTCTGATTCCATTACACTTGAGTCAGAGATGGTTGTGAGCTACAACAGGAGTTCTGAGACCTGAATCATCTTTCAGATTTGAAAGAGCAGCCAATGTTCTTAGCTGCTCACTCATCTCTCCAGCCCATCTCACCAATACTTCAACACTTTTTGACATTTTCTAGCCTAAGATGTGTTGCTTATAATTTGGAAAATATTTATAAATAATTTTCTTTCTTTTGCCTTTGATATTTCTGTACTAGAATAAGGTTAATATTCTTCAAATAAAATAAATATCTCATGTAATATACTTACTTTAAACCATCATATCATATTCATGCCACTAAATGTAATAACAACTTTGCTTTCTTATTCTGAGGAACAACCAATGAAAGTCTTGTGCAATAACTATGAGATCCTGTATTTGACAACCAATACTGAAAAAAAATAGTTCCCATTGTAATGCATAAGACACTTCCACTGAATTATGGCCATCAGAACTTTTCAGTTTTTATTCCTCATATTAATCCCCTACTTATCCCTGAAAAACAATATAAATCCTTCGATCTAAGCATTTCACCATTTCCCTCTGTGCATAACCCAGAATGCATTTACTGAATAATACTCCATAATCTATTTGAGGGCTTTGCTCTCAACTCATCTTCTCATTTCCTTTAAGATTTTAGCAAGCCAGTGTCTATGTAGTCCTTCTTCCACACTGTCATCCTCAAACACCAGACTGTGATTTTTCTCATTACTATTTTTTGTTATTTCCTAAGCAGAGTGTTGGCTTCAGAGAGAGGCATTTTCACAGTGTTGATTTTTGCATCTTTGTAATTAAGACAGTAATAAACACTTTTCAAAATATTAACATTCAGTGCCCATCAGGAAAGACTGCTCAATGTTGTCTCCTAAATCTTTCTTTCAAATGTTCAATAGCCATATTTCTTTCCAGTTAAACTAAAAATCACAAAGGCTAAGTGAGTCAACCAAGAAACTATAATTGTCTAAAATTATTTAATTTTCTGTCATTGAAACCTCTTGAATTACAAATTGCTGTGGGATGTTCTGTATGTCCTGTGGGAGCCTATTCTTGGGTTCCTCATGGCTTTACCCAGCAGGTCCACATAGAGGATGATTAGGACCATGGGCCTGAGTGCAGGTGTCTGAGATGGTCTGCACTTGGCTGTGCTGGGGGATGGTCTGTAGGGCAAATGTGTTGCTCTGATTGGTCAATAAATAAAACCTGATTGACCGTGGCTAGGCAGGAAGTATAGGCGGGACTAACAGAGAGGAGAAATAAAAGAACAGAAAGGCAGAAGGACTCGCTGCCTGCCAGCCGCCCGCCAGGAAGAGCAGCATGTGAAAATACCAGTAAGCTGCATGGCAGTGTATAGATTTGTGGAAATGGATTAATTTAAGATATAAGAACAGTTAGCAAGAAGCCTGCCACGGCCATACAGTTTGTAACCAATATAAGTCTCTGTGTTTACTTGGTTGGGTCTGAGCGGCTGTGGGACTGGCGAGTGACAAAGATTTGTCCTGACTGTGGGCAAGGCAGGAAAACTCGAGCTACAACAAATTATTTATTCTGTAACTCCACTTCATTCTTCCATATGGGCAATGATTATTAATACCTGATATCATTAATTTTATAAACTAAACATTTTTTAAACATTAATAAATAGTGGTGGCAATTTAGGTGTTCAGAAAAACTTTTACACAGAAACATATATAGAAGGGGACGGAGTTGTCTTAATTTCAAGGCCCTGTAAAGCTATGAAAGGCAGAAACCCTGAGACAACAGGTGTCTATGAACTCCTTTTCCTAGCACCACACAAACTTCTACGGCTTAGTCAGTGGTACCAGAGACTTCTAAGGGAAGAACTAGACTAAAACACTCAGATTTGCTATCAAGAGGTAAGTACTTCATTTGCAACAGATAGAAAACCCTTCTTCTGCTTATAAAAATATTTATCAAACATTTTATTCAATAAGTTAAAATATATACTTTCCAGTCCACATTTTAATCCAGTTTGGCCTTTGTGTCTCTTATACCCGTAGTTCTTTCACATTAGGCTTCAGCTGCCTCAATTCCTAAAAAGTTGCTTGTAGCACTCACACCTCTCTAGCAGCCTTACCTTGGTGCAGGATACTCACATCACCCTTGCTACATCCGTGACAACAGTCACAATACTCCATTTTTGTTGTTGTTGTTAATATTTTCTCTAGCCATTTGACAGTCTGGTGATGCTTACCAAAGCCTTTAAAGAGACCTCAGGTGGGACCACGATTTAGTTTCTTGGTCCTTAAGGCCTCTCATGGATCATAATAGTGGTATTCACCCCTTCAAGCCTTTGAAGAAGGGGGTCCTGAAGTAGCTTATCAGTGGTCTCTGTTATTTAGCAGAAGCAGTGGATTCTGAAGGCAGCTGACGGTGTCCTTGCATTTGTCCATGACCACCTGTCATCAAGGCTGTTTATAAAGCAGTAGGCAGATACAGAATGAAAACAAAACAAAACAAAACAAAACAGGGTATAGGATGTTCTGCATGCCTCTTGTACCTCAGTTGGATTTAGGATGAAATCAAAGTGATCTGGGCCCATGACAGAGCCCAGAGATAGAATATGACCTGTGTTAGACTTTATTTGCCATCTAGTTTCTCTAGTCTTGAGAGAAGTAGATCCCAAAGGTCTTTGGCAAGTGGGGTGCAAGGGTTCTTTCTACAATGGCATTTTTGTTTGGTAAATGATTGGGTAGACCAGAAACTTAGGAGAGCCAGTCAATCTTGCTCATGTTCTTACTCTGGTGGTGACCTTTGGATTTTAGAGTGTTAATTTGGACTCTACACTTTCCTTTTTCACTGGGCAGTTGTGGTGCACACCTTTAATGCCAGTACTCCAAAGACAGAGGCCTGTGAGTTCAAGACCAGCATGGTCTACAGAACTAGTTCCAGAATAGCCAGGGCTACACAGAGAAACTGTCTTGAAAACCCATACAAACAACAACAAAGAAAAAGAGAAAAATTTTAACTATATCCCGAGAGCTTTGAAGTAAGTGGATAAAATTTAGAAATGTGATTGCATGTGCAGGTGTATCAGCCAGAAATATACTGAAGCAAGTATATTAATGAATAGCAAAAAAGAGCAAAATTGCTTCTTTACCCTGACCTAGATAATACTCATGAGTGTCCTTACATATGCCAAGAGCAATGAAAGTCAAGGCAAAGTTGGCAGACAGATGAACATTGAAAACTCAGATGAAAATCTGACACAATGGATGAAGCCATATCCAGAACAAAATCACCTGAAGGGAGTCTTATGACTTGGCAATCAAAACATGACTCCTATCTAAATCACAGTTCTGCAAATGTGGGAGTAGCACGGAAGCAGGCTGAGAAATTCAGTCCAAAATAATTCTCCCCCAAACCCTTGAGCAGAGAAGGTCTCTATATCTGTGCCAGAATTATTTCCAATCTGTCTTTTATCTTATATCACTAATTACTATTAAAAACATGCTTATCTCTGCTGAGTAGTATTCCATTGTGTATATGTACCACATTTTATTTAAACATTCTTCAGTTGAAGAGCATCTAGGTTGTTTCCAGGTTCTGGCTATTACAAACAATGCTGCTATGAACATAGCTGAGCAAGTGCCCTTGTGGTATGATTGAGCATTCCTTGGGTATATGCCCAAGAGAGGTATAGCTGGGTCTTGAGGGAGACTTATTCCCAATTTTCTAAGAAAGTGCCATATTGTTTTCCAAAGTGGCTGTACAAGTTTGCATTCTCACCAAAAGTAGAGGAGTGTTATCCTTGCTCTGCATTCTCTCCAGCATAAGCTGTCTTCAGTGTTTTTGACGTTAGACATTCTGATAGGTGTAAGACAGTATCTCAGAGTTGTTTATCTTGTTAAACTTATTTGCTTTAATGATGATTTTATTTCACATTTTAAACAATTTTTACATATAAAATTATTACATCTATGAATAAAGACTTGCTCACATCTACCTTTTGTGTTCTGTTTTTCTTGTCTCAATGAGATGTAATCTCTAGGAAGAAGGTTTGTACAATTTGGGAGATTATATCTTCTATTTATCAAAGTTACAGAAGAAATATAACATCCCTTACCAATGGCTAACATATGAGCTCCTGGTACTCACAGGTTTAGGAGGTTTACTACATTAGATTTAAATCTTTCCTTTTCCAATCATACTTAGAGGTTTTAATCATGAACAAGTGAGATATTGTCAGATATTTTTCACAGTAACTGTCACGAATAAGTGCTCATTTTAACTTTATTCTATAATTGTATTTTTCTCAAAAGTTATGTTAAATGAGGCAAGACAGGTAAAAAAGATTTTAAAGTAGACTTATACAAATGCTGTGAAAATAAAATTTCTTGATATGCTTTTGAAAAATATTATTTCAAGGACATTCCATAGATGTTAAACTTTCAGAGGCAAATCATTGTTCTTTGCTTATTCCTCAAAGAATTCATTTATTATACCACATCTATTACTAATAATAATTGAGTGGTTTTGAGATACAAATCCACTATTTTCTCCTAATTTTGTTGAATATATAAAAGTTTACTGAGCCAAATACTTCTGAAAATTTTTCATAGGTAGAAAGGTAGAAATTAGTGAATAGTTAATTATTTGATCATTAAGTAGTTAACAATATGTAAAAAAGAACTGTACCATTTATTTCCTGCCATGTTAAGTTAAATCATCAGTAATACTTTCAAACACTCTGCATACTATATGTCATTATATAATGTTAAAGCAGAGTAACAGAAGATGCTAATATAAAAATGAGAGAATTCCAAGGTACCTGATTTATTTAGTGAATAAAAGGGACAAGCAGTTGAACAGCCCAGGGTTTCTGAAGGAAAAATCATTTCACACAACATTGAACTTAGATCAGAGCAATACAGTGTAGGTGAGAAAAAGTGAATCAGATAAATCGCTGAGTGTCTCTAGAGAGAAGATAAGCACTACAGAGTGTCTTCTGCTGAGGGAAGAATATTGGGGTGAGAAGGTCACAGTGATCAAGCTCCACCAGGTGATTGACTATTAAAACCAATAACCTCTGCAGTTTTTTTTATCGACTTCTCAAATCTCCATTAAGAAAATGTCTCAAGGGGGAGAGATAAAATAAACCACATGGAAGGCAAATTGAGATAAAGACAACTCCAGAAATAAACCCAAGCTGCAAATTAATCTAAAGAAAAAGATGGCTGAGAATATAGGGGAGTAATGTTCTGGTTTATTCACTCCAATTCAAGTTTTAAATGAGTTGCATTTACTGCTATAGGCCCCAGTTACATATAGACAATGTGTTCTGAGAATCCATAGGGTGTCTGACAAAATGCAGAATATTAAAGTATATATGCAGTCTTGAATATTAAAAACATATCTATGAAGGTGGAAGTTTCTTTCCCACCAGCAACTCTCAAATCCCCAGCAGCTGCTGCCCATATTACCACACAGGGGCTTATAATAATTACAAATGCTTGGCTAGTAGCTCAGACTTATTACTAACTAGCTCTGATACTTAAATTAACCCATAATTCTTATCTATGTTAAACCACATGGTTTGGTGGTTATTGGTAAAAGAAAAGAAGTATTCTAATACTGTGTTATTAATAACCATTGTATGAATGCAGTCTTTCTTAAAATATTTTATTGAGCTATTCTTAGCTTTTTCTGTGTCATATCCAAAGGCCAAAATAACTAGTGAAATTTAGTGTGGTTAACAAGTTATATAATTCTTACATGAATATAAGCTCTATTATGTAGCTGAGAGTACTGATCTCAGAAAATGGCCAATGTGTGACTAATGGTGACATCATATAGACAGAGCATGGGTATGGTGGACATCAAGACATAGCTTGGGAGATGGAGTAGAAACTATGAGATTTTTATGATGTCATTTAAAACAGTAAAAATTTTAAACTTACGTATTTTTTTGAAATTTCATGTACTATTTTCAGAGAGAATTTTACTATTCTCTTGGATAACTTCAGCTGTCAACTTGACACAGCCCAAAGTTATCTGAGGGAGTCTCAATGGATGATTGCCTTGATCACATTAGCATGTGACAATATCTGTCCAGCATTTTTATATTTTCATTATATAATTCCTTATATTTGAAATTATAAAATACTTACATGATTTCCTCTTTTCCATTTCTTTCTTCTTCCATGTAACTCCCTACCCCACTCACTTTCAAATTCATGGTCCATCCAATCTATAATATACAACTACATATACACTTATGAGCATATACACAGAGAGAGGATGAATATGATAGAAGGAAAAGAAGTAAGTCTCACATGGAGAGGAGGGGCTTAGTTTTAAACATTTAGTGTATCACACTGTTGTTACATAGTATAAAATATGAAATGTAGCACATTTAATAATAGATCATGCAATTAAAGTTCTTAAATTAGATGCCACTGTTTCATTTTTCAATGACTTAAGTACTAGGGAGAACAACTACTTAAACTAAGTAGACTTCTTTGAATTAATCAAGGAAATTACACTAAAATCTGGCTTGCTCTCTTCTACACAGCTGTCTCAGGTTTCCTCTGCTTCATTATATTTTGAGAACAATGTGGCATGTAGCCTAGTTCTTAATAACTTTCTCCACTGCTTGCTGTAAGCAGGTAGTTATGGTGATAATCACTCACACATAATTATGCTCCCTATTCATTAGTTATCATCCAATTACAAGGATTATCAAATAGTATTTTGATATCCTAATTTCCCCTTTGAAGATGTACTCACAACTAAGGTCTTATGGAATAAACTGAGTTGTGGATAGTTATACATTTCAATGAATTCTTTATAACAATGTGGATGCACTAATAATTGAAAAATAGTAATGTATCTCAAACTGCAATTTGAGCAGATAACATCAATATAAATGAAACATCCCAGGAGGAGAAAATAAAGTACTTGTTGTGCAAAAATGAAGACCTAATTTGTATACCCAGAACTCACATTTGAGCATGGTGTCATATGCTGGTACTCTCAGTTTTGGAAGACAGGTGCATCAGTGGAACTCAATGTTCAGCTTGCCTAGTCCACTTGGAAAACTCTAAGCCAAAGAGTAAATATGACTCAAAACTAATCTGAAGAATGATATTTGAGGGGGACTTCTGGCATGCACACACACACACACACACACACACACACACACACACACACACACCTATTGTTATAAATCTCATAATATTTAATATCAAATGCTAAAAGCCATGTGCAATCTGAAACACAGTGGTATTTGTCTGTGGTCATTAAGCTCAGGCTATGAGCCCTGGAGAACTGGATGTCCTAATGCTCTCCTTCACAGCAGCTGAGTGCAACAGAGCAGAGGAGGAGCCAAGGCTGTTCTCAGCCCCTCTTCCCATACCACTGCTCTACCTGTCCTGAACATCCCTTTCCAACCTTCTCTGCTCCTCTTCTCTGGTCCCCCCCACCACCACACTGATTTGGTATAATCCTGATTCTTAATCAGAAACTACTTAGAGATCTTGCAGGAGAATCTCAGACCCTTAAAATTTAGAGAGCTACACATATATGATATATGGTTTACATACAGATGATTTTGAAATGTTCTATAGCCGACAATAGACCTTTAAACGACTGGTAAACTCCCAACCCTGAAAACTAAATTTATTTATACAACAGAATAGCAAAGGCAATAAAGGATTGCATACCTGATGTGTTTTAGAAAACACACAGTGTATCAAACCTAACTACCCCCAAGTTGACATTTTTTTCACAACAAAACATCTTAGGACAGGAAAAAAATAATAAAAGGGATAAAAACGCGTCTAGGGAGACGTGGCGCCAATTGCTCTACCTTGACACGGGACTGTGTTGACTACTCGTCTGTTGCTGTCACCAAACTCCGGAGGAAACTTGAGGGAGAAAGAGCATATTGAGGCTTAGGGTTTGCAAGTAGGGAGAGGAACAGCATCAGGGGTTGCCATGGTGACAGGAGTGTCATGGAGTCTCCCCACATGCTCCTGGATGAACAAGAACAGGAGAGCGGGCAGAAAGTGGAGCTCTCTACAAAATCTCAAGACCTCTGCCTCAGTGACCCACCCACTTAGTGAGGCTCCATGTCCTAAAGATTCTAAAGCAGCACCGGCCACTGGCAAGTGAATGTCCAAACCCCAGAGCAGAGCTGGTAACAAAGCCAAAGCAGTTCAGAATATAATTATATTTTCTACACATTAAAAATAATTTAAAAACCAGGCTTCCTTTCTCTCTTATACTGTGATATAGCTTACTACATAGTAATTTCAGATAGTGTTTTGAAGTGTAATTTGAAAGAAAATATTATCTACAGCTAAATAAGAGCATATCTTTTTTTTTTTTTTTTTTTTTTTTGGTTTTTCGAGACAGGGTTTCTCTGTGTAGCTTTGCGCCTTTCCTGGAGCTCACTTGGTAGCCCAGGCTGGCCTCGAACTCACAGAGATCCGCCTGGCTCTGCCTCCCGAGTGCTGGGATTAAAGGCGTGCGCCACCGACGCCCGGCTAAGAGCATATCTTTTTAAATGGTTATCTATTTTGCTCTGAGGTTAGTCTTAAAGGCAGTGTTAAATTACTCTAGCATTCTTTAAAAATAACCTTCTAATTCTTTATAAAACATAGATTTGTTTTTATTCCATTCAGAATAAACTAAATTATAATGTTATCTTCTAATTATACTACACCTACAGAAGGCTGATAGGATGAATATGAGCTTGGATAATAAGAATAAGTGCATGAGGTCAATTTATTATTTGTAAAGTTGCCTCTCTGGTATGTCTGAAATGCAGTTTCCAGAAATCTCCACAGACTGCATGACACTCACTTTCTTTCTTTTTTTCTTCTTTGGCTTTTCGAGACAGGATTTCTCTGTATAGTTTTGGTGTCTGTCTTGAAACTCACTCTGTAGTCCAGGATGGCTTCAAACTGACCGATATCAGCCTGCCTCTGCCTCCCGAGTGCTGGGATTAAAGGCATGCACCACCATTGCACAGTGTGACACTCACTTGCTAAATGGTTATTTAATACAGATTTTTAAAACAAAACATGTGAATTTCTTCACTCAAATGCTCCACACTTTTTATATTTCTGTTTTCTAAAATTGTATTTTGAATGGAATGAAATATCACAATATCTTTCTACAACCTCATTTCAAAAACAAAATTAAGATAGATCTATGTTAAGCATCTCTTTGAAGCAAACTGGAGTCCAGAGAGGAAAGAAAAAAAACTCCTATTCCTGGTATAGTTTATGAAGAATAATAACAAAATTTCACCTTCTAAGCAAATACTTTATTCATTTATAGTATCATTTTTGTTTATTTTTTTAAAGTCATATTCTTTTCAGCCTTGTTATCACAAAAAAGCTACATATTTTATATTAAGAGATCCTATTGCAGTGTTCAAAAGTAAAACTACGTTTTCAGCTATAAATAGTTTATTTTGTGAGGTGTGGCCTGTAGGGAGAAATCTTTATTAGAAAGAATAAATCATTTCCAATAAGACAAACACCAACTGAACTTTTATACTCATTTTTATCATGAAAGCATCACAAGAGATATGACATTAATCTTAGCCACATTCTAAAACTGATAAAATTGTCTGTGTGCATCTGAACTATATTAGCTTTCTCTGGACTCAACCAGGTGAGGGAACACAAAAACTAAGATCAGGACTAGGGAGATAGTTTGGAGGGTGTAATACTTATGGCCTAAACATGAGGACTTGAGTTTGGATTCCAACAGCACTCATAGAAGTTGCCTCAGTTGTTCACATTTGCAGATCCAGAACTCTTATTCCAAAATGGGAAGCAAAGGCAGAATTCCCATAAATTTATGGGCCAAATAGCTTTGCAATTACTGGGCCCCTGTAGTAGGAAGTCTTCCTATATCCCCATCCCTGGCCATTAAATGCCCCTGCACCCTGCAAACCTCTCCAACTTCCCAATCCCCCAACTCCTGTCCTGCAGCCACTCAGACCCAAGTAAACACACAGAGGCTTACACCAATTACAAATTGCTTGCCTATGGCTCAATTTTCTTGCTAGCTAGCTCTTACCACTAAACTCAGCCTATTTCTATTAAGCAATATGTGGCCATGTATTCTGTGGCTTTAACTGTGTGCCATTACATGCTGCTCTCTGCAGGGCAAGATGGTGTCTCCTCTGCCTATGCTTTTCTTCTTCCTGTCTCCTAGATTTCCTGCCGGCCTCTAAGCTGCCTTGCCATAGGCCAAACAGCCATATTTATCAACCAGTCAGAGAAAAACATATTTGCCACATACAGAAAGACATCCCACAGCACTTCCCCCTTTCTTTCTAATCAAAAAGCAAGGTTTCAACTATAACACAGTAAAATTACATATAATAGAACAGTTATCAAGTAGGATTACAGTTAAAATATCTAGTTTATTTGTACTTGGCAAAATTAAAGAAAATGCATTATTATCTATCCTATATTTGTGAATCTAAGGTTTCATATCTAATTTATCTTTTATCATGACTAAGGAAAACTATAAATATAACTATCTAGTCATCAACAACATCAAAGACCCCAGAAGGTTATAATATTACCTAAAAGAAAGAAAAAGAAAAATGAGGATATAGATAGAGGTAGATTGTTGAATCTACTCTGAAAAAAAAAGATATAGAAATGACAGAATAAAGGGTAGTTTACTGAATCTACTCTGAAAAGAAAAAAGAGAGGATATAGATATGATATGGATAAAATGAAAGATTATTGAATCTACTTTTAAAGGGCAACTTAGTAGTTTTAACTATTTTACATTGAATTGAATTTTTGTATATTATATAGGCCTCTTTTTAGACAATGTAGAATACTAGGACTGGCATTCAAGGTTGTCTTCTAGCCTCCATATGTATAATCTGGCAAGGGCACAAACTCATAACACACACACACACACACACTGATTTAAAAAATGGCTGTCGGTGATAAATGATCAGAAATTATACCATTTAAAATCTCACTAAGTAGCTATATTTTCCTACCACTCCTATAAATATCCAATATAGGAAATTGTCTATAATTTTAAACATTGAATATTTAAGGTAACAGAGTTTAATATTACATAACTTAAGGCATGAGGAGTCCATGAAAATGAGAGAGAGAGAGATTACAATCTTTTGGATATGTTGCTCTAAGCAAGGAGACATCTTTGGAAGAAAGTGGAAACCTATATAAGACTTTTACTAGAAAAAATGACTGGTTCAGATTATTATTGCTGAAAGATGATTTATAGAGTTGTAGAGATCACTTTGTTTTGAATAACTTTTAAGATAACTGTTCCATCCTTGGGAAAGGATAGTTCTCTATCTCCACAGTCATTAGTTTTCTATAGTTCTGTCTAGGGCTAGGACCCCAGAGAGTTAATTCCCTTCCTTCTATATTAACATGTGTAATGATATAGCCATTGTCCTGCTTCTGATTATGCATGCATTTCTATGAGAGGCTTTTTTCACAGCAGGTATCTTATTTTTCTGGATTTTGCAATCTTCCCTCCCCATTTTCTGAATTGTTCCTTGAGTCACAGAAGAAGGAGCTGAGATGAAGATTTGCCAACTGTAGCTGGACTCCCCATGAGCTATTGATCTCTACCTTGTATCTAGTTATGAGTTTCTATGATGTTCTCCATTTCTGGTCTAGTAAAGATGCAGTAGCAGATTTTTTTCCAAAGGTCCATGACCCAACTAACCCCAGGAAGATGCCTAGAAGTATCAGGAATAATTTCATGTTGATTGGGCTTTAAGTCCAACTAAAAGACTATTGGCTACCACTACCATATGAATGCCACTTATTGCACCTTTATGGATATCTTGCTATGCTGGTCATTGTTGTGGCATGCAGGTGTTGCATTTGGGTAGGTCCATTCATTGCTTCCCTTTCTTAGCAGCTTGCATAGTATTTTATGGAAGTATGGAAGCTAGATTGCGGGAAGTAGGCTTTCAGGTTTTATCTAGCTTGAATCATCTGAGTCCTCTGTCCTAATTATGCAGTGTCTTCAGCCATAGGAACTTACTCTCAGAGTCTGAAGTGTTATTAAGGGCTACATCAATAATCTCTATTGTTTCCAGATACACTTGGAGTCCCCTGACTAACCATTCTAAAGGAGATTTCTTGTGTCTAGTACTGGTGTTTTTATCAGGCTACATTTCTTGTGGAGAGTGTTTCAAACCCAAAATGGCTTAACCCTTTCAATGCATTATATAATGTTATCTATAAATATAATTTATATATAAATTTAATAAATAAATATAAATATATTTTATTTATACATAATAAAAATAAATAATTCTTAAAATAAATTTTATATGATTAAAAATAAATAATAAAATGAATATTAAATGTAATACATGATAGATATCATGTACTATATATACTAATGGAGTTATATGGTATATATTAAATCATATGATTGCCTGAGGCTTCATCCAATCTCTTTGGTGTTACTTATATATCCATTCTCCTTCTCCTGTACTGTGTTAGAAAGAAAAGAACCTACCCCTGTGAGGTAATCTGCTTTTGAACAGTGATTGTTACCTGTATTGTTCTCATATACTTTTCCTGGAAATTATAACCAAATTTCTGTAGTGTGGAATTCCCTACACACCCCTGCAACTATTTGTTCATATAGATTGTAAACAACCATTCACTAATCAGATATGCCTAAATATGATCCAAAGCTTAGATATATGGGTTTATGTTGAAGCATAGCAGAATGGTATTCCAGACATCTAGTAACATTGTTATTTGGGAATATTTTTCACAATTGTTTTCAGCAACTGAAGGTTGAGTCCCTTCTGCACAAACTTGAATTAAGCTGAGCTCGGCATCTTCTTTCCCAGATAAACTTGGGTAAAACATTTGCAAACTTTCTTACTAAAATAAAGTATTTCACTGTATTGTGCTTTAGCAAGGACACACTATATCTGTCGAATCCTGGGACAGATTGTAAATCATGGCTACAGAAAC